TGGTCCCTAAGGGAGGAGCAAGGGTGGGCCAACTGACCCTCCCCACTGTGTGCTGCCCCAGCTCCTGTGTCCAGTCCTCTGCTCACCCTGAGACCCAGGCCCACTGGCCTCGCTGTGGGGTATAGGGTGGAGCTCCTCTGTGAGGCCCAGAGGGGCTCCCCTCCCATCCTGTACTCATTCTACCTCAGTGGGGAGATGCTGGGGAATCACATGGCCCTCCATGGAGGAGCCGCCTCCTTCCTCTTCCTGGTGAAGTCAGAGCAGGATGCTGGGAACTACACCTGCAAGGCCAAGAACAGAGTCTCTGAAGAGACAAGCAAGCCTGAGACCCTCTCCGTGGATGGTAGGTCCTGTCCCGCAACCGGCTCTCAGCCCAGCAAGCCAGCCGGGTCAGCTCACTCCTCTGTGTTCCTCCCGCCAGGCCCATCACAGAGCATGGGGAGCTTGAAAGAGGGAGATGTGCAGAGGGAGAGGAATCTCTGAGGCTCTGGACCCTGGGTGCCAACTATGACCTTGACTTGGCATCCTTCCCAAACAGTTCTGCAGAGCTGCCGGGACCCCCACCTTCCACCGCACACATGCCCATCTTGACCACTCCTCCTGAAATCCCTTCCCTATTAACGCAAGACGAGGGAATGAATCCAAATCCCCCTCGATCCCATCAGTATCTCCTTGCCTTCCCTGATTCTCTTCCCTGGGGACACTACCAGACGTCTTTCCTCCCCTCACTCAGGGCCTAGCAGCGCTCTGTGTCCCCTTCTCCAAAACAGGGTACCACGAGCAGCACAACCAGCCCACAGAGGGGTTCAAGGCTGTGGGCACCTAGTGTCCTTGCTGGGGCCCCTCGCCTTGATTTGTCCCCCTTGGCCTGATCATCAAAGAGGGGCTGTAGTCAGGAGTTTGTGGTCATGTCTGGGTTAATTCAGTTTGGTTGATTGGTTCATTACTTCTTTCCTTCTTACCTTGCTTGAAAAATAAATTTAGCACATTGTGTGGTGAAGAATTAACTTTCCCAAGGAGAGGTCTGGCTTTTGCCCTTGGCTGCTGGGAGGTGATCTTTAGACCTGTGGAATGTCACGTCTGATAGGAGTGTCTCTGCATGGGGACTACCAGACCATCTAACCATGTGATATGTGATGAGGGCTTTGGGCTACCCTGTCTCATTTCTTCCCTCCAGAGGGACTGGGGACTTATTGTGTCAGCTCAACCTTTGGAAAGGCTCGAGACTAAAGGTCAGTCACAGGAACCACATGTCATCAAGCCCCAATGAAGACGGCATCAGGGCTTGGGCGAGTTTCTCTGTGTGTCCGTCATACGCTGACACCAGGAGCATAGCACTGTGTCCTTGGAGTCCCCTGGGAGACAACACATTTGGTCCTTTTCCTGGGCTTCTGCACTTCCTCCCTAGCCTTGTTTTTGGTGAATATAAAACCTTTCAGTGTGTTCTATGAATCCTTCTAGCAAATTATTGAAACTGACGGTGGTTTGGGGGAACCCCTGGAATTTGCAATTAGTGTGAGAAGTGAGGGAGGTGGTGTGCAGAGTGTATTCTTTCTGCCTGTATGCATGACTAAACTCTAGCACATGTTTTACAAAAAAACATACAACTGGCAAGATAAGGCACCCATCAGTTAAAAAAATAGGATTGGAAGGGAGCAGGGTAGGAAGATAAGCTGGAGCAAAGAAAGAGGTCAGAATCCCAGTTGCGTGCTTTCCTGTTCTATCCTGGCTCCAGGGGGCGGAGTGCGTGGCTCTCTACTTGACGGCAGCCACTCCTTGGGGGCAGTGAGGTCAGCTATGCGGTCACGAGACCGCTCAGGGGAACGGCCCTCCTGCTCCCCTCCCTGGGAGGCATTTTTTCTCAAGAAGACACTGTGGGATGATAGTGAATAGCATCTTTAGCAGCAGATAGCCCCGTTTTCCATAGCCCCATCGAACATCCCTATTTATTCCAACACACTTCTGCACAGGCTATGGCTTCGCAGCAAAGCATTTCAGTGGGTCCTTGTATGATGTGGCTCGGATTTCAGCCTTCTGGTCATGTCGCTTCACTGGGGTTAGTGGTTCTCAGTGGGGGCAGACTCCCTTCCCCCCAGCTTGTGTTTGTAAATCTCCAAAATGAGTGGTAAACACTGTTTTAAAGGATTTTGTGTAGGGGATTTTTAAAATTTTTTTTTCCTGCACAGGGTATCTTTTCGTAAGCCCAGTATGTAAATAGGTGAAATTCCAACCATTCTGTTTGAAATGAGGTAGCAGTTCTGGAATTCCACCTGCTCACGCTGCCTCATTTCTTCGCTCATCTGCAACCCCTGAGCGGAGGAAGTCCACAGAACCTTTAGGGCTCCAAGGAGTTGCCTTGGAGTGTACCCCGAGAAGGGCTACACCCTCCAGCTTCCTCCAGAATAGCCCACCTTTATCTGTTGCATATATTGGGTTTCTTGTAATATTTCCTTTGAGGAAAGGGTTGTGTGGACATTTTCTAAAGTTCACAAACCACTGTTCTAAAGGAAGGGCTGGACTGCACAGCCTTTAGGCAACATCTCATCAGATGCGCTTTTGAAAAGTAGAGTTAGGGACGATGCCCCTTGTCCCCTCCGCCCCCTCCTGAGGCAGCGAGTCACAGTGAGCCGGACCAGCAGGAGCTGTCAATTCTAAGAAAGTTCTCCTCTGCGCTGCTCCGTCCTCCGCCCACAGAGCAGCTGTAGTGGCTGCCCCTACTTCTCCACTTCCCCTTCTATGCCTCCATTTCCTCTCCCAGCAGACTGGGGGGGATCCCCGAGGCCTTCTCCACTCCTTAACCATTTCCACAGATTGGGAGAAAATGTCTCCATCATCGGTGTTTTGCCACCAGGCTGCTCTCCCCTCAAAGCAGGGAAACCTCTCAGATCTAACAGATCCTGTCACACCATCCCCTGGCCGAAATTCGTGCCACCGTCAGGACTCTGAGGTCAAGACTCAAGACAACCCCTCGCTCCCCTAGGAAGAAGGATTTGACCCAGAGTGCAGAATGCCGTGGGGTGTCATGCAACTGTTATAAATGACAAGCTCTCTGGGGAAATTGACACAGAAAGGGGAGTCCCTCTGGTTGAGAGCATTTTATATCTGATAATGGAAGAGCTGCTGCCTTCACCAGGAAAAGTATTTAACGTGCACATGGGGTGAGTAGCTGTGGAAAAGGAGAAAATGAGATTGCCTCTGAATGCCAAAGTGTTAAGTCAATAATGAGTGGATGGGAGATGAGATATGCAAATTATCCTAAAGAAACAAATGATCAAAGGAAGATATTTACCTTCTTTGAAAAAATGAGCTGGAGTGGTGTGGACTCATTTCAGGAAGGGTACAGACGTCAACCCTGACAGTGCCCCCTGAGTTCTGCCTGAAGACTGCCAGCCAGACTGCAGGATTCTGCGGATTCTGGCACCAGGCAGAAGGCGCACATTCTAGAGATGGGTGCAAGAGACGGTCATCAAACATTTTATTTCTATTTTTAAATTTTAAAAACCTTTTATTTTGAGATAATTTTCAACGTATGGAAACACAGAGCTACTGCAGAGCCTTCATCCAGGGTCCATTAACTAACCTGAGTTCCACACTACACGAGTGACGGTACATTTGTCACCAGATTGTTGCAACATGGCTCACCATCTTTCTCCTAACACCATGCTCCCCTTCTTTTGACAAGCCCCCAGACTGACCACGCACAGGGAGGAAATGTCAGGGCAGCAGAGCTGCAACTGGTCTATTTGATCCAAATGCCTTCGACAAAGTAGACTTCCTTCCCCCCTCCCTCTGCACCCCTTCACCCTGCTGTTTTTCCTCACAGAACTTCATTGCTCCAGGTTGTGTATTTATTCGTTGTGTGTTGCTAATCTCCCCAAAACTCTGGCCCTGACTAGAGTGTAAACTCCATGTTTCCTGCTCATGGCTGCGGCTCACATCTGGAACAGCGCCTGGCGCTTTGTTGTAACTTCATAAATATTTGTAGGAGGGATGGCTAATTTTGTATATCGGTGGACGACTGCTCCGATGAGATGAGGCAGCTTCCCGGATTCTGGGACATTGATGAGCTGGGCTTCTGAGCCTGTGCTGTGGCAAACTGGAGCCTGATCAGCGCTGAATTTGCTGAGAAAAGTATCATTCTGTGCAGAGCTGTCAACGGCCAGCTGGCTTCCCTCAGGCCACTCCCTCTGTTCCCCTCTGGCTCTTTTTGAGCACCTCCAATCCCAAATACAAATTAACTAACGACTACAAATACAAATTAATAATGACACCAACAATACCAACATTTACTGAGGGTTTCCCGTGTTGGGACATCACCAGCTAGAGTTCTGTTACCTCCCAAGTTAGTTTAATCAAGTGATGTCCTGCCCCCAAGACATCAGGAGACCTGGGTTTGGGCCTTGGAGAAGTCCCTCCATCGCATGAAGCTCTGGTTTTTATTTTTGTTTTTTTGTGGTTTTAATTTGGAAGATAAGGGGTTGGACAAGATCAGTAAATTCTAAACTTTTTTTCCTCTTAACAACAGCACTTTGTTTTCAAATCCATTCTGCACCAGCATCCCCAACATGTCAAGGAATAAACACAGGCAGATGTCTTGGGTGGAAGCTCTGGCCCACACCTGCTTCCCTTGGTGGTCCAGGATGCAGCACTCCCCAACTTCCAGGGGCACTCCCAGGAGGACAGACCCAAAGCCCCCAGAGCGCCTCTCCTGTTCTAGGAAGCCCCGCCCAAGAGGGCAGTGGTTTCACAGTTCTACTGAGGGGGAAAGAAACCTTTTGTGATTGGAGACAAAGGCATCTCCGGCTGGGGAACTTCCTCTCTGCTTCAGCAAAACAGAAGAGCAGGCAGCATGGGGCAGCTCTACAGGGAAATCCCCTGGGGGCCTGGATGAGCAGGGGGATTCACAGCCACTGTCCCCTACCCCCATCCAGATTCCCTGGGTCTGGAATGGGGCCAAAGGAATGAGCACTGTAACCAGCCCTCTTCGCCATTCCGGTACAAAACCTGCACTTTGAGGACAGTAAGCACGGGGGGGAAAGCAGAGGACTTGGCAGTGAGTCGATTTTAGGAAAGGAGGGCAGACAAATCATCCTTAAGAGGAAAGATGAGGGAAGGGTGTGTGTATGTAGGAACCACTCTGGGATTCGGATGCCTGAGAGACGAGGTATGCGTTGTCAGGCAGTGTGTGTTAAAGGGGCTCAGCCCAGCGTGCTCCATCTCTGCATATATAATGGGCTGATGGGCTGATCTGGTGAACAGGCAGGTGGCATGGAAAACACCGAGCTGGGCTGGAAATGCTGGCAACCAGGCCCGCTGTGTCCTGGTTGATTGGTGCTGTCAGTGAACGTTCTCATACAAACCTACTCATGTGGCTTATGGTAGAGACTTCCTGCTGCAGACCCTGGTCAAGTGCAACGGGACCCCAGGCCTACATAACTGTAAAGCCCATGAGCTTTTTGGGGGGAGGTGGGGGAGATAATTAGCTTTATTTGCTTATTTATATTATAATGTGGGTACTGGGGATTGAACCCAGGACCTCATGCATGCTGAGCACGTGCTCTAACACTTGAGCTATGCCCTCGCCCTCGAAGCCCATGACCTTGATGCTTAACCAACCTTCAGTAACAACCACAACTCACACTCCTTGAGCCCTTGCCGCGTGCGGCTCTGCGCTAAGTGCTTTACAGGCATTATCTCATTTCATTTTCACAGCCATCCTACAAAGCAGGTGTCGTGAGTATCGCACGCCGCAGGTGAAGGTCCCAAACCAAGCAATTTGGTTCCAGATGCATTTTCATTTCCTCTGCCTACCCCACTCCCTTCCTTCAGAACTTTGGGGCAGTTTGTTGACCAGAAAAGCTAAGGGCGGCCTTGAGCTCTTAAAACTTAGCTGTCTCACCATGATTCCTTTTATAAGATTTTGCTCCTGTTCTTGGATAGTCACATAACTTATCCTACAAACCAGGATACTTGCTAAGAGTGAAAGGGGGCACTATTAGCAATTAGGCCAAGATGACAGACTTGGACTGGGACTGTCCCCTGAAACCTGAAAACAGTGTCACCTCATCTGTTTCAAACTCTGTCCATGCTCTTGAAATATCTGCCTTTCACACACACACTTAAACCTTCCATTTCAGCAGATAACTTTGCCTCCCTTTTACAGAGAAAATTAAAACCACTAGGCAAGTCCCCCCTTAACTTCCTGCTGCATGCAAATCTACCTGCATCTCTGATCATCTTTCCTTATTAGAGGGAAGGGCCATCTCGTCTGTCATCTAGGGCCGGTTCTTCCTGGGCTCTGAATCTCAGCTCCCTCCCATCTTCTAGTGGGGGTGGCTAGAGGGTGGGGTGGCGTTGCTCCACTGATCTCCTTTCTTTCCTATAGCTCCCCCTCCCTACTTCCTTCTTGCCTCAGCATT